AATTATAAAAACTACATGTGAACTTGGTATGCATAAAGTTTTTTTCCCCAATAATCATATACAAATAAATTATAATTAGTACGTAAAATTTTATATTGTATATAATCAATTATACTTGGTACTGGCTTTTTTTGGTTGGTATATGTTACTGGTTTTGTACTAACTTGAATTTATATATACGAAAACTTGGCATCATGTTCAGATTTTGAGTTTTCAGGTAATACTGTAATGTTTAAGGGTTTTCATTGGAATAAACAAAACTTGCAAACATTCACATGATCAAACAAAATAATTAAAGTTACAAAGTTTAATATTAAATAAATAAATAAAATCAAAAAATAATAGATAATGAAACAAGTTGATACCATGGTGGTACACGACTTCTAAAGTCCCGATACCAAGTACCAACCAAGTTAACATACTTGATACGGTACTACCAACCGTCTGTAATTGGTACTCATTTAATTAGTATCAATTTAATTGGTACGGTTGATACACATGTTGGTTGGTTTAGTGTGTACAAAATTGTCACCCCTATAACAAAGTTTAAAAAAGTTGCAAGTCAGTAGAATCCGGACTGACAAAATAAAAACTAGTCGTTTTGATACATTGTTCGACCCATATTTTTCTTTTTGAAGTATAGAATTTTTATATACATCAAATAATTTCACACAATCTATTAATCTTTGGTGAAGTTTGAACTTTTAAATGTTGACTTTACTGGATACTGCTTATTAGAGGTGATCATTTGCGGGCCCGGACCGAGTGTAACTTGTTTTTTTTGTTCAACGGACCTAATATTGTAAACCCAAACCCTTTTTCTTGGGCTTGATAACTTGCCATTATCTGCCCCATAAATGGGTTGCGATTGCCCACAGGCTAACGGGCCTAGAAGGTGTAACTCTTAATTGACAAATGTGGAACCAAAAAGTAAAAAAAACACTGTTGTAATTAAAAACTTTAAACAACTACTGACTATATCCATTGTTGATCGATTAGGACTTTTGACATAAGGATGCTAATAAAGATAATGTAGAGTCTTTTAGGTTCTCAAGAAAAAACAAAGAGTCCCAACTCCCATCTTATAACTTTAATAATATAATTTTAAAATATACTAGTATAATTTTAATTAATGGTAAAAAAATATTAATTATAAAACATAAACGGGCCGAACGGGCCTATCCATATTTATTTTTACATTGTCCATGTCCGCCCGTTAATTTTAACGAACAAACCCGGGCCCATCCATTTTCTCGATAATAGTTATCCAAACCCGTTTTCTAGCGGACCGGATGAGTCGGGTCTAACGGGTCGTCCCACCCATGAACAGCTCTACCGCCTATGCAAAAAAGGCCCCTTGGCTACTCAACCCGTCTTGGTTGCTCATATACAACCTCTTCTTCTGTACATAATTAAAAAGTAACTGTTTATTATTGGTCCTACAAAGTTCACCAATTTAAGCCCCTTACCGGCAGAACAAAAGGTCTGTCTAACGGTTAACTTAGATATCCCATTGGTCGATGTACGTGTAGGTTGACTCAGACACCCACATTTTTTTCAAAAAGAACTCGATACCTATCTCATTATCAGGTCAAACACAGTTCGATACTACAAATGTTTTTTCAGTTAAGATCAGTAATCAAAATATTTTTGTTAAGGGTATTAAAACCTTAAAATTACTTTATAACATATAATTATTTCAATTTCTGTATTTTAAAGAATCTGTTAAGTTGGAGATGCTACAACATTCTTTCGACCAGTATACGTAAGTTGCAACTCAGATTCACGGGTTTCGAAATGCTTCACGATAAGTCAAAAAAGAAGAGATTATTAAACGTCTCACATTTCATCTCGCCATCACAGTTATACTGACCTTTTAAATTTCCTGCAAGTCACGACCCGAGCTCATAATCTTTAAAATGCATCACCGTATTTTGAAGCGGTAAGTCATAAATTGCCCAACGTTTCTCTTTGTCCATCGACTAAGATAAAAATACCCTTTTAGTTGGATTTTGTCAAAAAAAAAATGTTTAAGCAACATGTTCATTATCTTATAAATTAGGGGTTGCTTGTTTACCTCTTAATAGTTTCATTAAGAGGTGAATCTTGTTTGACAAAAAAAGTATGTCTCTTAATTGTTATAAAACCCTCTGAATTATTTTGTATCATGGGCCTCCTTTAACCATTAAGAGCCCCAATTTCATTGTAAACAATTAACAAACAATTATATTTCATTTTGCACTATATCATGAGAGTCTCTTAATCATTCTGCATCAAATCATTCAGCAACTGCCAAACAGCCCCTTAGAGATGCACAAGGATCAGGTTTGATTCGTTCTTTACGGGCCTGGTCCTAATGGTTAAAAAAAATGATCCTTTCTGGGACTGAATAACTGGTCTTTCTTTTGTTTTTCGTTATTAACACGCACTGTTACTTCCATGGAAACAAGTGCGGACCTTCACAAATCAGACATTAATCAAGCTTGGACCATGTCAAAATCAGTCTACACTGTATCCGATATTGGGTTCTTAACTGGTATTTTTAATTTGGACCCGTTAATTCGAAACAAATATGATGTTTTTGGCAACCATTTCATCAGTAAAAGTCAGCTTTCTAGTAGTGTTAACGTCTATGAAACGGTTTAAGCATGTATAGATAGTAATTTGGTTAGAAAAAACACAATGAATTTTATCACATGTGTTGTGGCATGAAGAAATCAAGTGCTAGAATCCATAGGGAAAAGGACAAACATTAAATTAAGGATGGTTGAGCGTGTCTTCACCAGACGTTTATTCGGATAAGTGTTTACCGGTAGAATTCAACACTATCACTTATTTACCAGGTAGATATTAGTCTACAAAATAGTATTGTATGCAACAATTTACCTGATAAGCGCTAACCGTGGTAAGAGACAAAGACTTTTACTTATAGAATAAGACTCTCGGTCCTTGCCTTCGCTCTTACTGGGTAAGATTCTTGGTCTTTGTCATATGCATCCAGTAAGGTAATGTAACTTGTTAAACACTTACCCACATAAATGTTTGGTAAACGACCCCTTAGACATAAACTTCACAAACCTTGATTTCATTTAAAGAATTACAGAATAAAACTGTATATAAGACTCATAGAGTATTATACATTTTTAATGTAAATCAGTGTCTTGTTTTTCTTTAATATGTCTCGTTTACTCCAAGAAAAGAACAAGAAGCAACTTTCGTCATTTTTATAACCTTGAACGACAACGTATATATTATTGTTTCCATGAGGTCAACGACTGTATAGTTCATATGAAAAATGGCAAATGTATATATACATCATAAATATTATCAAATAAATGCATTTAGAGTATCTCTAATAACTATGCTATATTTTCTCGTTCTTTTTCTAAAGAGTAAACTACAAATTTCGTCCCTGTGGTTTGATGAAATTTGGATTCGGTCCCTCAGGTGAAATAATTAAAAGGACAGTCACTGTGGTTTCGTTTTTTATTATGGATCAAGTCCCTTGCGTTAAAAATCGTTAAAGTTCTCCGTTAACTTAGTGGCGTTTTCGTTCTTTCGTTGTGTTTATGTAACTTGTAATTGTTTAGGGGCCTGTTTTGCCAATCTTTTAATATATTCCTTCCTTTTTACATATTGAACTTTAATTTCAGGGACCTGTTTTGCTAGTTTTTAAAACACAAGGAGCCGAGGTTGGAAAACAATGATCGAGAAAAGAAAATCACATGTTTGATTCAAAAGCAGTTGAGTAAGATTGTACTTTATTTTGTTCAAAGTTGTTTTTTGAAAGGATCCGGAAGTTGTTTCTTGAGTTTTCATATTTGGCAAAACAGGTCCTTAGAATAATTACAAATTTTATAACACGGTGAAAAATGAGAATTTCTCTAAGTTAACGGACATTTTAACCACTTTTAATTCGAGAGACTTGATCTATAACAAAAATAAAACCACAGTAACCGTCCTTGTAATTATTTCAATTGAGGGACCCAATTCAAAGTTTTCTCAAACCATAGGGGCGAAATTTGTAATTTACTCCTTTTCTAAATTTGGAAATTTTCTTTATTTTCTCTTCTTTTTTGTCTTATATTTTAGAGGAGAGTTTAACATAACTGTTGAAACAAATTTTTCTCATATCTTTAAAATTTCTAAAATAACATATTTGTTAGAGACTAATTTTCATTATATTCAACACCAATTTATTAATAATCTGCTACTAATAAATTGGTATCACTGATATATCATAGCAATGTATGGATATATGTACGTTGTTCGAATACACATTTTTTTTATTAACCTGGATATCCAACCCGCTATGCGAGCCGACTAATCCTATAGCGACCACTTGCTTTACGGATAGCCCGAAGTCACCGCATTTGAACCTCCGTGGTCACAAGGGGATTTTTATTCCTCTTTAGATTTGAATTTGAGACCTCCAAACACTTTGACCTTTGGAGCCCAAACTCAAACCAATGACACCACCCTTGTGGTTGAATACACATATTTTATAAATAATAATAAATGATATGTTGATATCAGAATTAAAACCAAAATCAAAATAGCTTTTCCTTCGTGCTATCGTTTTAAAGGAATGTTCTCCCCTCTGTTTTGTTCCTTTCTTCCTTCTCGGGAAGCCTTGGTTCTTGTCTGGTGGATGTGGTTCGCCTCCACCTAAATGCGTATTTTATAAGCGTTTTTGGTTTTTTCTCTTGATATCCTCTATATCAAACAAAATTGTCGATGCGTTAATTATCTTAATTACAACGTCTTCCTACTCGGTTGTTTTTTAGCCGTAAATTACCTTCTTGTTTTCTTTCACGTATATGTCAAGGTATAGATGGCAACAACAATCCATAGGATAAAAGACAATTGTTAAACAAACATCAAAATATATATATATATATATATATATATATATATATATATGAACTTCATCTTTGATTTATAGGTATTATAAGCATCTAAGGATGGTTGACCATGGTGATGAAAGTTCCAGAACTAAGATGGTAGCCATTGTTGGCGCCACCATGGGGTTGTTATCTGCAGTTCTTGGGTTTGTTGCTGAAGCCACCAAAGTCCAGGTAAACTATACATACATATATACATATATATATGTAAATACATATATATGTAACGTTTTGTATTCACGAGAATCTCATTCCTTTTGATGAAGAAGAGATCCACCTTCTTATCTTATATTTCAATATACATATATATGAACTTGGGATCACATGAGACCAACTTGTTTTCTTGAGACTCATGAGACAACTTTTTTACACTTGAAACTTCATAGCAAAACGCTATGAAGGTAACCTTCATAGTGTTTTTACTGTGAAGGTTCAGATTTTTTTTACCTTCATAGTGTTTTTACTGTGAAGGTTCAGATTTTTTTTACCTTCACAGCGTTTTGCTGTGAAGTTTCAAGTGTGAAAAAGTGGTCTCATGGGTCTCACGAAAACAGACTAGTATCACGTGAATCCAACCCAACCCTACATACATTTACATATATACATATATATACAGAGTTGGGTTCACGTGATACCAAGTGTTTTTCGTGGGACCCGTAAGACCAATTTATGTTCATTGATCAACTTTATAAGGTAATGGTCTAAAGTTGTACGGTGGCAATTTTGTGATTATTGAGAAGTTTTGTGGCGTTTATGAATGTTCAGATTGTCAGATTGTACATCTAATCCAATGGTTGAGAATTGGTCTTACGGATCTCATGAAAAAACTTTGGTCTCACATGATCCCAAATTTATATATATACACATATGCGCGCACACACACACACACAGTTGGGTTCACGTAGGAGCAGACCTACCTTTTAGGGTATGACTTTTCGTGAAACCATAAAATTGTAGGGCTTAAATATAAATTTTTTATGGCATACAAACATGAAACTATAAGATTTTTATGAGTTGAAATCATTAACTAAAATACATTATATATATATATATATAGAGAGAGGTTGGTTATTATACAACCCTGGTCATTTGTGCAACCAATACAACTTAATCTCAACCGTCCATTTCATTTGATTAATATGTGATTTTATAGAGATTTTGATTATTTCCTAATATAAAGTATTAATCATAATTAATGAACCGTATTCATCTTCCATAAATATTTAAATCATAATAAATGAACTTTAATCATTTCCATAAATATTTCAATTTATCGGGTTGCATTGGTTGTACAAATGCGATAGGTTGTATTTGAAATAAACCCTATATATATAATTACATTGTTAGAAACAACTCATCGATATTTTGAAAACGAGTCCAATATTAATTATTTTTAAAATTAATTGTATTAACACAAATAAAAAAACATCTTTTTAACATTAATTTTATGCCTATATGATAAAATTGTATTGTTTAATTAATTTTATTTTATATTACGATAGTTAGTTGGGTGTAATCACTTTAAAAGAAAATTGGATCCGCTTCTAAGTTCACGTGAGATCAATTTGTTTTTGTGAGACATATGAGACCACAAGGTAACACTAAAACTTTACATCAAATATTGTGAAGGTATGAAAAAAAACCTAAACTTCACAGCAAAAACATTGTGAAAGTTTAGTTTCACATTGTTTTGTTGTGAAGGTTTAGTGTTATTTATGTGGTTTCACGGGTCTCATAAAACATATTGGTCTCACATGATCCCAAGTCTCTTTTTTTTTCTCTCTCTCTCTCTCTCTCTCTCTCTCTATATATATATATATATACATACATACACACACACACACATACATATAGGGTATATTTCAAATACAACCATGTTCATTTGTACAACCAATGCAACCCAATTAATTGAGATATTTATAGTAATGATGAGATTTTATTTATTATGATTTGGATATTTATGAAAGATGAATAAAGTTCATTAATTATGATTAATACTTTATATTAGGAAACAATCAAAACTTCTATGAAATCACATATTTATCAAATTAAATGAACGGTTTAAATTGAGTTGTATTGGTTGTACAAATGTAAATAGTTGTATAATAACCAACCTCTCTCTCTCTCTTTCTCTCTCTCTTTATATATATATATATAGAGAGAGAGAGAGACAAGTTCATATGAAAATGGTGTCTATTTAAAAAGATGGCCGAATTATATGTGATTTTACACTAAAATCACATGTGATTCACGCGACTTTACCCCATGACTTGTGGTTGCGGCCGAAGTCGCATGCACTCCTTTTTTGCCTCTTAATGTAAAATCACATGTTATTTTGTACGTAATTTGGTCATTGCCTTATTTTCTTAATATAGGTATAATTCTTGTATGAAACTACACCCTCTCTCTCTCTCTCTCTCTCTCTATATATATATATATATATATAATCTAGAGAGGGCCAAATTGGACTCGACTTGGCCCATGATTGGGACTAGTCAAGGATTGGTTATGACTCGACTATTTGGGACCGTTACAAGTTAATAGAATTTCAATGTGATTAGTTATGTATAAGACCCATTTTTTAATTTCTTTTAAGTTTTCATTTTATGATACAAGTTTTTCAAAGAAGTGTTATAAGATTCATAACATTTTAAAGATTTTCAAGTAAATGTATTATTTAAAATGTATTCTAATACTAAATGTCAAAAATCGTAATTTATAAAAAAATTGTATATTTATTTTTGTGTAATGAAATGGGCTGAGTCTGGGCTCAAAGTTGGACTAGCCCAATGGGAACGAGACCCGGGCCACCCTGTTCGACTAACTTGATTTTGAAAGTAATGATTTAACCACAAGGGTTGTACCCGATTGCTTTAAGCTTGAACTCTAAATGTTAAAAGTGTTGGAGGTCTCATGTTCGAATTCAAGAAGAAATAAAAAATCCACTTGTGGTCACAGAGGTTCAAATGCGATAACTCCGCACTACCCACAAAACAAATATGTACCTTAGAATTAGTCGGCTCACAGGCTTGTGACTGCTTTTGGCCATCTCTATGTATACAATTTATTCTTTTCATCATAAAAAAATATTGTTTGACAATATATAAGACATTTTGTTCAAAAAATGCTCATTTTATTATTTTAAAAAAATCAAAAATTGTTTAAAATATACTAATACAACAATTAAAAAAAAGATATTTTTTAATATTTTATGATTTTTCACTTTAGCCCTTAAGGTTTCAACCATAACTTGGGTAACCTTCTTCTTTCAGAATGTGGAGTTGCAGTCCCTCACCTTATGTTCCTTGTATTTTAACCAATGTTTCACTTTTCTCCAATTCCATCTTGGTTGAACAAACTTTATTACAAATAAACCTACATAAGACAATAGACATGTAATTAGGCATGGCAACGGGGTGAGGATAGGACGGGTTTTGTAATCCCCGACAGGTATCGGGATTAACATTCCGTCCCCGGTCAACCTTCTGTCAAACTCCGGTCAACCCCATGAAGAATATCCGTTAGTTTGAATCTACCAGGGATCCCCTGTCCCGAGACCCGTTTTAGTGGGGAATCCCCGTCCACGTTCGAGTCGGGTGAGCATGGTTCCCCACCGGGTCGGAACAAATCACCATCCTTACATGTAATAAGAAGTTAAGAACAATTCATTTAATCAATTCCAATGTCCATGTCAAAATTATTGAAAAATATTTAGATAAATTTAACACACTTCATGTCTACATGAGTTTGCTTGCAGCTTGCTGATGTTAAGGACGTAATGGAAACAGGATGCACATATCCAACAAATTCTAAAAACCCGACACAAGTGCTAGGAGTCGTAGCAGTTATGTCACTTTTGATTTCCCGTGTTTGTTTCTTGAGATCCCCTATCCCATCTCCAGTGGCTCGACTCTCCCTTATTTCTTCTTGGTAAACTTTGTTTCTTTTTCCAGTCGCTTTTTTTTTCTTCAGAAAACAAAAATATTAACTCAGTGCGATTAATGCTATTTCAACTAGTAATGCTTAAAAGAACGAAACGGCTAATGAATGATTGTTGTGTAGGTTGGCATGGTTAGGTGCACTCATTTTTTACATCGTTGGTTTGGTGATGATCGGAAATCAGGGAGAAAAGATGCGGTATGGAGAACGATTAGGAGACAGAACTTTTCAAATCGATTACGTGTGCAAAGTGGTAAACCCTGGAATATTTGGAGCCGGTGCCTCACTTACTCTTACCAGTGTTGTACTCCAAATCATTTACTTGGTTGTCGTAAATCATCATGACGGTACGATTACAGTCCCTCCTTCGACTCAACGTTCTGAGGTCACAATGGTTTGACCACCTGTAACATGTGTTTGATTTGAGGATGTTTATTCATTTTTAATTAGCAGTAACTTGTAACTTAAGACTTAATAAGAAAATTGCAGCATCTCCTTCCTATCAGTGTATGAAGCAGTTTGTCACAATGTATAAGTAATATTTATCTATCATTTAAACCGTGCAACCAATCAATTAAGACAAAATTATGTGTATAATAATACCCTAGACCTGGGATTTTACCCTTTTTGTAGAATATTCCTTCTATATTTGTTCTATCTATACACTATTATAAATCATTTGATAGAAATTCTTAAAAACCATCTTTTATACATGATGTACTGTTTATTAATGTATATTACTTAAAATTCAAGATTACAAGTAATAATGTATAAATACAACTTATTAAAGCTTCATACTTGAATTCGTGTAACTAACTACAAATAAACATAATCAAATATTGGATTAACTTTTCATTTTAAATATAAAAAATTTAAAATATAATTAGGATAATTATTGTCTTCTAACAGAATACTTAATTATTATCTTTATAAAAAAATTATATTATTAAATCAAAAATAAATTATTTTCTTATTAAACCTATTAAATTATAATAATAAAAAAGTTGAATTAAAGAAATTACACAACAAAACAAGAACTTTTAAATAATTAATTTGATACTAATATTGATATGTTTTTTTTTTAATTTTAAGATATCTTCAATTTTATATTTTATTCAAAAATAAAAACATTATCGTTTTTATCCGTATTATAACATCGACAGAGGACAAAATAAAATGAAACATTTAAAATCGAGAATTTTAAAATTCAAATTGAGAATTTTAAAAAACTAACATGATTAATTACTTTAACAGCTAGTTGAGAATTTTAAAAAACTAATAAAAGATTAATTTGGATTTAAAATATAATATAATTTGTAATGTTCAACTTATATTTTTTTTAATTAATTTATCAGTTAATTTTTATTAGGATGATTAATTCATCAGCTAACTTATTAAATATCAGTTAATTTTTATTAACATGATTAATTACTTTATCAGTTAGTTGTCAAATATAGCACTGAATATTTTATTAAATAAAAAAGTAAATTAATGAGTGGTTTTTGTTTGCTAAAAATCAATGTCAAACATTAATCTCATGAAATTGATTGGGAAGTTAAGTTATTCTCCACATTAAATACAAATTAATGCAATAAATACAAGTAATTGACTTTTAAATTAAAAAAATATTATATATAATTGTCTTTTAGGAAAAGTCTAAAAAAATTCAATTGACTTCAGTGTTTGGAATGATTAAGTCTTTGAACAAATAAGTCATTGAACATTCCAAAACATGTTATATAACTCTTTGAACTTTCTAAAACCTGTTAGATACATTCTTATTACTTATACAGCTGGTTAATGTGGTAAAATAATTGAAAAAAATCTGGAAAAAAAAAATAATGGACATTCATATTTTGAACGATTAAATATCTAAACATTTTTTTGAACCAAAAGAATACTTAAATCTATAAAATGAAACAAATATACCAAAAAAGTACTTATATTCAAAAAAAAATTATTATGAAATTTTTTTAATTAAAAATAAAATATATTTTTACTTTTAATTAAAATAAATTTCATAATAATCATTTTTAAATTTTTTTTTTAATTTTTTTTAATTTGAGAAATCATATACGAAATATATATTTTATTTTTAATTAAAAATAAATACAATCAATAATCTTTTTTTATTTTTTTTTAATTTAGAAAATCACTGACATAATATTTTTTATTTTATAAATTAATAAATTTTATCAATAATCTTTTTTAAATGTAAGTACTTTTTTGGTATATTTAAGTATTTTTTTGGTATATTTGTTTCATTTTATATATGTAAATACTTTTTTGGTTCAAAAAATGTTTAGAAATTTAATCGCTTAAAATGTGAAAGTCCATTGGCTTTTTTTCCAGGTTTTTTTTTTATTATTTTACCACATTAACCATTTTTATAGGTCCTAAGAATGTATCTAATATGTTTTAGAATGTCCAAGTACTTATTTGTTCTAAAAAATTATCCAAGAACTTAATCATTCCAAACACTAAAGTCCATTGAATTTTTTTTAGACTTTTCCCTTGTCTTTTGTATGTTATTTTATTTATATATTCAGAAACGGCTTCTAATTAACTATTAATTATTGGAAATTAATTATAAGTTTCTTTTACAAATTTTTTGAAGTATATATATATATATATATATATATATATACACGACAAATAGAACAAATAAACTCACACACCCTTCTCACCTTTGGTGAGGTTTGAACCTTTGACTTCCTTGGAGGCTAAAGACTCACATACCTCCGGACCAAAGGCTCTTTGGTTGTTGAATGGTTTTGTGCACAATGATTAAGAGGCTTTCATGATATACTGGAAAATGAAATATAATTATTTGGTAATTGTTTACAATAAAATTAGAGCGCTGAATGGTTAAGGGAAACCCATGATACAAAATCATTAAGAGGGTTTTAGAACCATTAAGAAACAAACTTTTTTTTCCCAAACAAGATTCATATCTTAACGATTCAAAGATTGTTTCTTAATGAAACTATTAAGATGTAAACAAACAATCTCTTACAAAACTTATTATCATGATCAAAAGCGTTCTATAAACTCATTAAATTTAGCAGAAAAGTTAATAAACTCATTAAATTTATTTTGACCAAAAAGCCAAATTTAAAATAGTTGAAACAGATAATCACCCATAAAATACCTAAGTGAATTAAATGGCTGAATAAATAAGTCATTAAATTCATTATTATGAATATCTTGCATTAATTATTAATAAACAAATATGAAAAATGTAAAAATGGAAATTTATTTAAGAACAAAATATTGCAATTTCTTTTTTAGAATAATATAATTAAAAAATTGAATTTTTTTTTGGATGCAACAATTAATATTTTTAAGGAATAAAGTAAATGAGTGCAAATCTTGCAAAAATCACATTTGTGAAAATCAATTTTAATGTATGATCTGATCTGATTTTTTTTAATTTAAAATTACGATTTAAAATATTATTTTATGTATATTTGTTTTGTAGATTTTTTTTTGATTAATCTGGATATCCAACACGCTATGGGAGCAGACTAATCCAGGGCGACCACTTATTTTGCAAGTAGCCCGGAATCACCGTATTTGAACCTCCGTAACCACAAGAGGATTTTTATTCCTCATTGGATTTGAACCTGAGACCTCAAACCACAAGAATATTAGTTTTCACAATGTAAAACTTTTTAACATGTGGTTTTTTATTTCACAGCATGAAACAAAAAAAGTTCCAGTAGATATTTTTTCATATCTGAATACAAACACACGTGAAACAATACCTTAAATCATAACATTTGATGAAAATAAATCATTAAAAGATATATGAGATTGGTTCTCACACAGTTGTAACCTTTTTTTGGTCTTCCTTTAATTACTGTCCTAAGGTAAGGTCTGTTTGTTACCAGTTTAATGAATAATTACTGTTCTAAAGTAAGAATCTATTTATTAGCAGCTTAATAAAACTTACAGTTTATTCGATCAGTTATATATGATTGTTTGATAATGGATTAAAAATGTAGAAAATGTCTTTTTAGATAAGCTTTATGTAGAAAACCTAGTTTTTTTTTTCAAACCTACCATTTTCAATAAAAAAAAAGTAAGTTTTTTCCATATATGAAAACCTTGAAAACTTTCTCAATCTGTACAAACAAATTAATCTACACAAATAACTTTTATTCATATAGGACTTAATGAAAAATCAAGTAAACACCCTCTAAGTAATAAATATATTATGTAATACTATAAGGGTATTCGCGCAATGCAACGAGATAAATCTCGATTTTAATGTTTAGTTTTTATTCTTTATCTTTAACAATATAATACGATTTTATGTGGTTTGAGAAATCGATAATGTTTTTATTTTTGAATGAAATATAAATTTGAAGATAACATAAAATTTTGAAAAAAAAATTGATATTAGTATCAAATTAATTTAATTTTTTATCATAATTCAATTTAGATTTAATAACAAAGTAATTTATTTTTGGTTTAATAATATAA